TAGGTGGAGATGAAAGAAAGGCTGGAATTGGACTGTGAGCCATCAGAAACAAAGATAAAGAGAGGTGTACAAATGTTTTCATGGCATGTGATGTCTGACCCTAAGCTTTGATGCTGATGAGATTTGTGCATTTGCACAGTAAAATCCTGATGAGAAGGGGGGCAGCCTGTGGACAGGTTTTAGAGAAAAAAAAACTGAATACACCATGACAAAATAAGTAGGTCACAGCGAAACACCTTCTACACTACATTAATCTGAAAATGGTACTGGAATCAGGCTAACATATTTCAAAACAACCGCAAGTCGTGAATTCAGTAGGCATCAATGGCAGGGTCTGTTAGGCTGCTCGTATCCGTCAGTCGGGTTCGGGTTATATTTTCATTTTTTGTCATCATGTCTGCACTGACCTGGAATGACACTGTCTACCCTCCTTTTCTCCAGTGATGTATTGTAGAGTGAGTCTGCTGGGCTGGTTTTGTCGTTGAACATTATACATGAATATTTTACTTGTATATGAACATGAATTCTCACAGGAGAAGTCCATTATGGCATCATTGTTTATTAGGTCACAGGGTCTTTAAGTCCCAAAAACAACAGTATCCCCACTGTTCCTGGTTTATAAACTTGCTAGGTGCTGGGCAGATGATATGTAAAGTTAAAAAAAAAAGAACAACTTTGTGCCCTTTTTATTATTGTTTACTTTAATTACTCTTGAGGATGGTGTTTAGTGCCCATTTGGCTCCTCATCTTCTATTATCCAAAGTATTTTCTGAGCTATCCTTGTTGCATCTTTATCAGGCTAACACTTATAATCTCAAACATCCATATCAGTCAGGAGTCAGCCCAAAGTTAGCTGGCTAACCCAAAATTCTAGCATGATGAGCCAGTGACCTGAGCAACAGTGTAGCCAGAAGATCAAAATGACATGTCAAACCTGATGCAGAATGAGGTCGTCTTCTGGAAACAGCTCTTCGCAAAACTCACAAGGCAGCATGATATCTATTTAAAAAAAAAACAAACGTTTTAATCATTAACACACTGACAACATAATGATTTCAAAGTATTCTAGTCAACATTAATTTACCTGTTTGATCGTGGTCCTGGACTGCACTGGACACGCTTGTCCCTGTAGTTAAATGTTTGTAGTTGTTGTTGGACAGAGACAGTTGAGAGTTTACAGAGGTGTCAGAGGGCTTCCCAATGTTGTGGTCCCAGATATCACTCCACAGGTTGCCCTCCATACCTCCAGCCACTGATTCTCCATCACTCTGCAGGCTGAGAGCCAACATGTAGTCCAAGCCTGATGAATCCTCATCCTGTGTCTGATTGCTATATGGCCACGCACTGCTGCTATTCAGAAAATCACTCTGCCCCATCACTTAAAAACAAAAAAAAAATTATAAGGTCACTTGAGAAAACAATTACAGCTGCAAATAGCAGCACAACAACCGTGTCTACAATTTCAGTAATGGCAGAAAGAAATCTTTCAATGTTTTACAGTCAGCTCCATTTAATATTTTTTGCCAAACCTCGATGATACAGCCAAACCTTTTTGACCATATTAGTGATCATCTTACAAAGATTGCTTTACATTAGGGAAACATTGACATTTGCAGTAAGATATTCTTGTGTGATTAACAATTACGCCAAGACATGCTGGTGATACTACAAGAGTTGGAAGCCTAAGGGTACCCTGTGGAAACATAATCAGTAGGTAATTTATAAAACTCACAATGACTGAATGATGAAGTACTCCTTGGTGCAATACTCTTCCAGTCTACTAAGTCCTGAGCGCCCCTTGCAGAGTTATAAACTCTAGGGTCAAATGTCTGGGGAAAGGCCTGTTCTGCTGCACTGATGTTGGTGTTCTTGGGGCCTCTTTCTTGGGCTCTTATCATGTTTCGGATGGAGTGGGCTTCAAACCATGGCCCTGGAGACTGTGGTTCTGCTGGACTGTGGCTCATCCTGCTGTTGTTCCTCTCTTGGGGCGGTGTGAGGCTGCCACATAAGACTGGATGCACAGCTTTTTCCCTCAGCATTACATTGCATTTGCAGAGTGGGCAGGGCTCGGTGCGTGTACCGCAATAATCCTCATGCTCTTTGGACTGACTGAAAACAAGTTCCAATTCACAATACTGGCACGGAACCAGTCGCAGAGAACATTCAGAGCTCTGCATTAGACAGTGATTGTGAAGAAGCACAATTAGAAGATTAATCAAACTGTTTAAATAATAGAGTTATAAAGGGGCAATGCATAAGTTCTTAAATACCTGGTGAAGATCAATATGATTCTTCTCAATCTTCAAACCACACTTGCATGTAATCTAAAAGAAAAGTCAAAGTTCTAAGTGAAACCATCCAGTCTGAGCCTAATGTTTCTCTCTTGAGACATGAGAATTTGACTTTATTACCCATCAAACAGGCCATTTGTTTTAAAATACAAGAGGTGCCCCAGTGCTGTAAATTCACATAAGACAGTCAAGAATTACCACAACAGACTGAGTCCAGTGTTTCCCTGTAAGATACTGTCACTGTTAAAAAATGGCAGTTTTGCTCCTGAAACATAAAAATCATAAAAGTCACAGGTTCAGCCCAGTTTCACTTCAGTTTACTGGCTTCTGGGTTTGACTGGAATTAACAACTGTCAGACTTAATGATTAGTTTCTCCAGGCTAACCAGATAATCACTTTTTTTCCAACCTTTGAACATTGGGCCTATGGTAAAAGCAGGTGACCTTTTTTACAGATATTATGGTAAAGTGTGCTGGTCAGTTTACCTGTGTATGCTCCCGCTGCTTGTGCTCTTTGAGGTCCGAACGGGGCACAGGCTCCTGGCACACATCACACAGTGCGATGTTTCTTTGACAGTGGATCTCATGAGTAGTAAAATTAGCCTCTGGAATGTCATGTTTGCTTAAAAAAATGATAATAATAAAAACCTGTTTTCACCACCATATCAAATTGACTGACTACTTAACGTAACCTGTTATTCATACTTACCAATTGCCACAGAACTGTGTATTTTCATCTGCCATGACTTTACGGAGTTCCTACAAAAACAGCTATATGAATCATTGGAGTTAATGTACAGAGTACAGGTAGCTACCGGCGCCGCTAGCTGGTGAAACTGGCTGACAGGTCTTTCGGTTTGCTCACCCAGTGTTTCCAGGCAGGCAGCTAACGTTAGCCAACAACAGCGGCCTGGATCAACTAGGAGACCCCTTAATCAACAAGTATCTTGAAGCACCTCAAAAAAAGGTTGGACAGCGTTAGCTGTGTTACCTTTAGCGATGCAGCTTAACAATAAATACTCAACTGTAACCACTCCACAGCGTTGACTTAACAACTAACTAACTTCATATGCTCTTTAGGAGGTACTAGCTACCAAGTCAGGAAGCTAATGTAACGTCGAGATCTTGGGGGGGTGTTGCTGCCCGGTCTCGCTGAAACTAATACAGCCGTTTTGAAATTACCGTTTGTCAATTAATTCACTTATTAACATATAACCAAAAAAGACACTCGGAAATGACAGCTAAGTACTCGGCGATAGCAAGAAAAACTGTTCGTCTCCTCCTTGCTGTCTATAATAGGAAGATTTTCGCCCTGAGTCAAGTCTCTCAGGCTATGTACGTACTGTCCACGCTGCCGCATTTAACATGAGCAAAAACCAAATCAAATTCCACCGTAGCACCTTAAAATACTACAGCTAGTATCGGTGCACTAAAGAAAACAGTGACCTGGGTTCATAAAGGGCGTACATGTTACAGAGGTTAGGAATTCAAGGGAAGCATAAGTCCTACCTCAGGGCAAAGTGGCCCTGTAAGTTCTCCAGGCTCGTTTTTTGATTGGTTGAATAAACACCGTGCATTCATAAAATCGTCTCGGGTGACACCACTGCTTCTAGTTTCGAACCGATATCAACAACAAAAAAATGTATCAAGATGTCAAAAATATATCCACTATTAGGACTATAGAAGCTGTCAACGTACAGACTCATTTGCAACAAAATTAAATATTTTCACCCATGTTCATTAAGTATATAATAAATATATAAACTCAAAAGTACACTCAATTGTTCATGGAGGTGACCAGTTTTTATTGACTGTTTCATTTGTAGTTTGTGCTGCTGTTGAACTGTTCTGCATTAAAGGGGGTTTTGTTGTTTGAGCCTCACTGATATAAATGGAGTGGACAAAATAACAGAAACACCTCAGCATGAAAGCTTTTTTACCCCAAATTGATCATACAGTTGACTCAACACTTCTAACAGGCTTTCAGTAAAAATTGAAAATGATCACCATCATTAGGAAGAATTTATAGCAGGGCTGTTGCATTAAACTGCATTATATTTAGATAGTTGTACCTAATAAGCTGCCAAATTAGTATATTTAAGTAATAATAATAACTGATGCGTTCATCTGAGCTGCACAGGTCTGCTGTCTTCCAGACATTCAGGACACACAAAATGAAACTCAACTGTCAATTTTCCTTTCATTGTTTATTGAGTTTTGATCTACAAATACTGTGATATCAGACATTTTCATTTTTGTAAGGCACAGTTTTGTTCAAATAAAACACTGATGCATTTACAGCAAATGTTGGGACACAGCACATACATCCTTGCACCTCCTCAGTCAAAATGACCACCCAATATTTGGATCAGTGTTGTAAATACATGCTATTTTTGAAAACTCATTTCAAAGCCCTTGTTGCTTATTTGAAAAGGAAAAACAACCATTAATTTTACAACGTAATAATAAATGTAACTCCATGCCAAACACTTAAAAGCACAGTTGTGATTAAAAGCACAGTTGTGATTAAAAGCAATACATTTTAAAATGTGACAGGACTGAAAGAAAAGACTAACTGTATATTTAAAAAAAAAAAAATCTTTAAAAGATCTCAGTCTCACAAGAAATATATTGATATGCCCATAGATAATTAACTACATGGTTCTGGCTTGATTTATTGCTTTTAAACCAAGCAACGTGAGGGCCTAAAAGTGAACACATGGCAGTTCAAGTGAATTAAACATTTTCTTCCATATTGCTTTCAATTAGTATGAGAAATGTAATTAATGAAAACCTGTAAATTATAAAATGAACGCTCCACTGCACCTATTCATATCAGTTTATTGCTCGTGATACATTAAATCATATAACAGCTCTTACCTGGTAACATGATTGTCTGGTATGTGTGTAGGAAAAACATTAAGCAAGTTATGGACCATTTCCCTTGCTCAAACAAAACAATCATCAGGAATATGAGCTGCATCAGTTTTAAAAAAAACGGCCGTACAAACAGCCCTGCTGATGTAGCCCGAGTGAAGCACAAGGAGTGACTATGCCCCACGACTAATAAAGATTTCTGTCAAAAAACTACATACATCTCAGGTCACTCATAATGCATTGGGGCAATGGTTAGTCATCTGTTTTCCAATCCAAGGGGAAAAAAATGTCATTAGTATTTAAAAAGGACCAGCATTCACGATCAATCTGAACCACAGAAATTAACTAAAATTACAGTAAATCTAAATGTTCACAGACTATTTTGCTGGTAATTGGATGATTTCTACTATACAACTCCTTTAAAGGGTCATTACACAATCTTTAAGTGGCTATTAATAAAACATTTAAAGCAGATTAAAAGCATCATCACTGTAAGCACTAGATGTTACTATTTTAAATCAAGAAAACAGCCCAAAAACGTGCAAAACAATACTGCATGACCAAAGGAGCTATAATGCAGTCAACGGTGGTGGAGTTTTCTGTGAGCAAGATTTAGAACAAAGGTATCTGACAATATTGTCTATCATTGCATTGCTTTATATGTAAATGTGTCAAAAAGCAAGTCACAGGAAGCAAGTTATCACACCTGGGATATCAAATACACAACCAGCTTGTGACAGTGAGCTATATAATGTAGGTGCATTTTAGTTCCTGCCTTCATGCACTGTTCCATGTCAATACTTTTCTTGCCTGTTTATTATTATTTTCTACTTTACACCTATGACCAACATTTTTAAGAAAAAAGACAAAATTTGAATGTTTGGTCTGTCGATGTAATTATAGTAGCTAAGTATTAAGAAAATTTGGCCTATCAATGACTAAAAATATTGTAGACTATCAGAACACAATACACCAACCTCTGTAAGGGAAAAAGTTGGTTTTTCCATTTTAACCTCCAAATGTCCTTGGTCCAATATAAAATTCAGTAGGTTTCTCTAGGTTTCACAACCACAGGCTTGCGAAAAAATACTCTTCTACACTATATATGACCTAGAGTGGCAAGTATATTTTCAAAGACAACAACAACAACAACAACAACAACATAAAAGGAAAAATACAGTACAACCGTTCAGGAAATGAAATGAAGAAGGCACAGATCTCAAGATTTGAGACATGAAGTCAGAGGTAGCAAAGATCACGGAGAGGGACAACAGAGAAAATGAAAATGTAAATAAACAAAAAAAAAGCTGATACTTGATGAAATGTCTATCTGTCCTTGGAGCCAAGCTTCTCGATCAAATCCTGCAGGGGAGCAAGCTCTCGCCTGTCAATAAGGTTGAACTCCTACAAGCGAGAGAGAGAGAAAAAAAAAAACATCAAATTGCTGACTTATAAACTGTTAACAGTTCATAATAGGAATCTTTCATATAACAATGAAATGTTTAGGTCAGCTAACTTATGTTGGTGCAACTACGCACGTAGAATAAAACCATTTATCACATCACACATGTCAAAAATCATCCTGCCAGGTCAGATTCACTTCAGCCAATGTTAAACATATAATCTGGAAATTTGCTGGATTTCCCTCTTTGTTCAAGTAATGACTTAATGGCTTTCATGCATAGCTTTCTGTTGGAAAAGATCCATCCTGACTCTGTTAAAGCATGACAGGATTGTTGCACACAGGCTGGCCACAATGCTTGTATAATAAATGGCACCTGGCATAGATGTGATTAGGCACTGCAGGGCATTACATACAGAGTAGGAACCAAGAGATTTAATTCCCACTAGAGCCATAAAAACGTTACTGGTTCCTCAGCAGGCAAACTGCTGGAGCAATGTTTATGGAAAATTTACTGTGGGCTCCTTTTCGGACACTATATAAGTCGAAGCATATATGGATTTACAATGCACAACTGAATGGGGCTTCAGATACACAGCAGTGATTAAAACCCATTATTGCAGTTGGATAATGTGACCTGGACAAAGAAAATGAAGTGCTTGAAGGAGGTGTTGAGGTGGGCCTCCTCCTGCAGCTGCATCACAGAGTCAAAATGTTGGTGGTAGATGTGAGCGTAAACCCTGAACAGACGCTTCAGGATGGTTTTGGCCACAGACATGAAGTTCTTGGGGAAGGGAACGCCTGTGGGACAAAAGGAAACAAGTCTTTCAGCCTACATCAAAGGGGTACTACGCTTATTAAGAAGCTGTACTCTCAGCTTATTTGCCTAATTTCAATTCTAGTGCCTTTAAAGTTGGCAGCAGCGATATCCTTCCACCTGCAGAAAGTTACAGATCCAAAAACTGAAAACAAGTTAAAATAACATTTTGATAAATCACTTTTATTGACCAAGTATGTTACACACACAAGGTGCAGAACTGAGGCAGCCTTCTGCAGCGTCAACTCACTTGACGGGTTCAACGTGGGGTTCAGTGTCTTGCCCAAGGACACTTTGACATGTGAACTGGGTAGAACAGGAATCAAACCGCCAACCTTCCGGTTGGGGGAACAGCCACTCTACCTCCTACATTTGAGTTCATGACTGAAGAGTAGCTGTCAGAATGACAGACACTTCGTACAGTATCTTCCCTGGTGACACTGTCAATCCTGTGCGGCAGCTAACTTCATTTCTGGTTCTCATCTTGGGGCGTTTCGCATTGAGTCTTGTCTTCAGCATGCGACACTGAAATCAGGTGACTGTCACTGTGGAATGAAAATAGAGTACTATTTTTAAGTACTCTATTTTTATTCCCATTATCAGATTTCAATGAGCACTCCTTTGTCTGCCTGCATTGTTTACTGCCTGTTATACTTCTCATTTTGCACTGTTTGCACTGGCTGTTGCTTGTTAATACTGCTCATTATTTTTGTTATACTACACAGCCTTATGCTGGTTTACTATTTACTTGCCCCTTGCATGGGGATATGTAGGTACACATTGAGAGCCGATGTACCAGAGTCAAATTGCTTGTGTGTCTGACACACCTGGCCAATAAAGCAGATTCTGATTCTGTCTTGGGACAGTTAACATTATACTGTTTTGCCTTGCCTGTATGTCTAGGATCATTGCTATATTTATGGTTCTAAAATTAGGTGACTGTTTATAAAAAGGGCAATGAGTCTTTTTATTACAGAAAGACAATGTAAACAACCTGAATGTAACAGAAAAACATTTGTCAACTCTGCCTGGGAGAAGAGACTAAATAAAAGCAGTGTATACAGCTGCTTTATCTGCCAGAGAACAAGATAAAAAAAAAAAACTTTTAAAAGGTTAAACTTAAGTTAATATCATCATAAAATTCTTAAACTGAAACTTTGCTTGTCAAACGACTGAAAAGAAATCAGCAAGCACAAAAACTCACCAATCTTGGAGGGAAAAAGTGTCTCATCATCCAGCTGATCCTGCACCCAGGTCATCAGGTAGTCGATGTACTTGGGTGCAGAGCATTTGATAGGCTTCTTAATATTAGTGCCATCAGCCCAATGATACTCATATCTGCAGAGAACAAAAAGTGAACTAATTAAGGAGATGATGAAAATTAGTCATTGTCAAAATAAAAAGAGTAGAAGGCGGAAATGCAAAAGTGTCTACAGTAGGCATTCTTAATAGCAGCTACTTCAACAGGAAGTGAACTGCAGCCTCTTTCTCCTGATTAGTCTTGACATGAGAAAGGACAGAGGAAGTGCCAAATCTAGAATCTAACAGCTTCTACAGAAACCACAAGCAAAGTTTAATTCCTGTTTTTCCTCGTGACATTCAAATAATGTATTTCAATTTCATTTACTTTAACAGTCTCAACCATTCCGACTTGTTAATTTTGATTCTAATTATTCACATGTATAACATTCCTTAAAGCTTTACACATGTAGGCTTTGTGTGACACACTTGTCATCTCAGCAAACATGTGTAAAGTTCCTTCTTTCCTAAAATTAAGTAAATGCTTACGTCAGCCCTAATATTTCCCTTATTTCACTGCAACTGGCCAGATGACATCTACCCCTTTTTTTGCACTGTTCATTGCATCATAGTACGATATGTTTTAGCTAACACATATTATAGTTACATACATGCGTTGGGAGTCAAGCCTCTGAGTAAATGCTAATGTACTATGGCTTCAGACCCTTCACTTTTTGCACACTTTGTATTGTACACTAAATTTTAAATGGATACATTTGATTGGAGTCTGTGACAAACTGAATTATTTAGGCAGAGTTTAGAAAATTACACACCATTTCCTTGCTGAGTGCTCATGAGTAGTACCTGGAGCATAGTTTCTTTTTGAGCAATAGTTGAAACATAGATCAGGGTAAGGTTATACAGCCATTTCTAAAGCGGTGAGCTTGTGACAGCCTGTTTATAGTTTGCCAGTCAGCATTTAAAGGACTAACAGTATGAGGGGAAGAAAAAAAAAAAAACTCTCTCCTCTGACGATTCAGAAATTAAACTCTTTGGGCAGAACTGCCAGCACTATATGTGGCCTATTTGGATACAGGTTAGAAACATGTCAAGGATAATTAAAGCTAACAGGATGCACCTGACCAGAGCACTGTGTGTGTGACAACACACAAACACACACACACTTCTGTACAGAAAGAGATTTCAGTTTTTAATACATTTGCAAACATTTCTAAAAATATCACTTTATTCCATTCCATTATTGGGTGTAGATTTATGGTCAAAGACATCAGTTTTCACAAAGTGGAGGAGTCCATATAGTCTCTGAAGCTACGGTTTGAAAGATTCCAACATCTACTTAACATATTCTCTGCCCAGAAACTGACTATCCAGCCACTGGACCTTAAAGATACTGTACATAAGCATTTCATCTAAATTCATTTGACAGTGCTATGATTCACAATACAACTATATTTTTGTTATGTCACATAAGAAAACAAGATAACTCCACCAGCATAGTGCCATAGCAAATGAGTTGAATACTACTTTGTTTTACATATATACTTGTCTAACATCAACTTTTTAGAAATTTGTTCCCACTTCCTTTTATCATGATTAAATCTAAGAAATGTCACAATGTTTGCTGTGAAATGAATCAGGCTGAAAGACTGTGCTCAAAAAGGAGAATGTTTGCCATTACCTCGGTCCAGCAGACATCACAGAGCAGCTGGTCTCAGTGCAGAACTCAGTGATGGTGCCATACAGCATGTTGATTTGGTTGAAGAAATCCACCGCTGAAAGAGAGAGTAAACAGTAAAATTTTGTTTTCTAGAAACAATGTTCATAACAGTAATGAAACAATATTAATATTTTACAACTGTTTTTGATGGGCAACTTTAAGTAAGCACTATCTACAGCCACAAATGAAAACATTTACCCAGACATTGAGTTGTTTTTCCCAGCTCAATGTTTGTGCAATTGCATGGTGTTTACATTTGGCATTACATATTTTGCATATCCTGTACTTATACTCTATAAACAGTTTGTTGTGTTCATATACTTACTGTTGACAGCAATCCACTCATTAAGATCCTCTCCCTCTGGCAGCATGACAGCCTGCCTCAGGTTCCCACTGCCCAGTGTGGCCTCAGCATGTTTGAGCAGCTCATACTGATGGGACCCCTCTGGGATGTTTTTCTTGGGCTTGAAAGTCTTAGATGAGCGACTGCCACTGCAAAGAAACAAAAACAGAGCTAAGCAACTGTCTGTACATGAGGGAAGACAAACATTTTAAAGGGCCTGTCGATGCTGATGCTTCTCTCAGGTCTTTACATGTGATGATCCTTTGTTTCTGCAATCAGCAGCTATAAGATGGCTTTATGGTAAACATCGATCATGTTGATGCTGAAACGAAACTCGTGGCAGATAGCCTCGTGCCAACGTCCAACCCTAAAGACTTGTGTTGGTCTGCCTTCTGTGCCATATAGCTAAATGTAGCTGTGGTGATTACCCACACGGTGCCACAGACGGGATTTAACAAAATTCGCTGTAAACAAAGAACAGTTAATTACACACTGCACAACCTTTAGTTAGCAAACTCCCATGGAGGTTAACACGGAAGTGTACGGATGGCGACTAATGTTAACATGCCTGGTTTTATATTAGTACCTGACAGGGTGATAATATAAACAAATTTAGCAAACCAAAAGCAAACTAGCGTTAATCACCAAGCTAACAAAGTTAGCATACAACGTTAACTAACTAGCTAATTAAAAAAAGTTGCAACTAGCGAGTGCTGGGGAACTACGCTATAAATAAGCATTTCACATATGTGACAACAGTAACTCTACGTAGAAAAATCGGTTAATTTTGCCCTACAGTTATTTGGATTACAACTGAGACAGCAGGTTTGTTTTCTATAACGGTCTTATTGTAACAGTTAACATTACTTCCCTCGGTCGAAATTCGTAGAAGCGTAGCTAACATTAACCACAAGCTCCGACTGTAACTTTGCAAACGACCGCTGACTTTACTTACAACAGGAAGCTCATCTTCAAGAAGCTGTCGTTGGAGAAACTCGATTAAAAGTTCTAACCCTGGATTAGTAAACAGAAATATGTTGAACAATAACACACTGCAAACCACTTGTATACACTGCCTGCCAACAGTGTCGTCTACGTTAACATGAACAACTACTTCTTGTTCTGGTTCTTGCGCCTTCTTGTTCTGGTTTGCGCTGCTTCTTCTTCTTGTTCTGGTTCTTGCGCTGCTTCTTCTTCTTGTTCTAGTTCTTGCGCTGCTTCTTCTTCTTGCGCTGCTTTCTTCTTCTTATAATTTAACAGCAGTAGGTAACCAACGTATTAAGAGCATTGCCGCCTCCTTCTGCTTCAAAGTGTAGATCAGCGTTCCTGTTCTACTCATTAACCCAGTCTGTCCTAAATAATAAAGCAAACATCTGCTCAAGCCACTTGATATTTCCAAAATGATTTGTAATTTAAACTCCTGAATCCTAGCACTTCTAAGTTCTTCCTTCATTGCTGCATCTCCTGTACATATTGCGGACAGTCCAAATTAATATGTTACTGTCTCCTCCTTATAATCCACTTGGGTGTCTGCCTATTGTTTTAAGTATGTAGTTATTGTTTTAAG